TCTCAAGTTATCGCCTCTTGAAATTCGTAAAATTTGAATTTTTGACACCTTATATTTCCGAAACCGCAAGTTTTTTCAAATTTTTATAAACGCAAAAAGCTAACGGTAAATTCCATGAAATTAAAAAATATAATTATTTTTCTTAACTCACACAATTAAACCTTAAAATCGAGCATTATGTTAACCCCTTTTTATATTAATTTTCGCTTTATTTCAAAGACTGCATATATGCGTCATCCTAAATATATGCAATCCTAGAAATAGTTTTGTATATGAATGAAAATAATTTTAATAGTGTGGTAGGTACACATAGATTGTATTTAAAAGCAGAATTTTCACTTGTTGAAGGGAAAAGTGCTACAATACAAACCATTGGTTTGACCCAACTTTATTTATTATTATTTTTCCGCCTATCACAATTTAAAATCATTCGGACTGCTGTACACATAGGGAAAAAACAGCAATTTTGAATGCGCAACGTGTAAAACATTTTGCGCAAAAAGGTATCTTTTTTTTTTAACTGATATTGTCGTTTAAAGAAAGCGTTATTTTCTTTTTCTGTTTTTTTTTATTTGGAAGTTAATGTAATACAGAGTACAAGAGGCAACACGATGCGACAATCAACAAAACATATTATAATGAACGCAGAATCATCTCATCTCTCTTGCAAGCTTGCTTGCATTGCAATCAATAAAAGACAAAAAAAAAAAAAAAGAAAGGAAAAATTTTTGTAAAGGTGGAAAAACAAACAAAATTTTGAAGTAAAAATTGAAAACAATGTTAAAGTGGACATTTACTGAATTTGTACATGGGACTACTTAAAGCAATTCCATATATTACGGAAACTTTGTATTTTGTATAAGTATGTCTTATTTCTATAGAATATTTTGTATAATTGTTTTGTATTTTATAGATATTTTTGTATATAAAAATATAACAGTAATAGTTCGATAAGTTAAATGATTGTTAAAGTTCCCGAATGAATTAGGATTAATTAAGAATAGTAATTTTTATAAATTTAGCTTGCCTTTTTAAAATATGTAACTTCCTCATGTTATAGAGAATAGCACGTTCAGGAATGTGATAAGAATGTTATTTGCAGTGCTGTACATATCGATTTACTTTTTTAATCAAAAATAGGGTGCAATTTATAATTGATTTTATCTGTCAAATCAATTTAACAGTGACATTAATCTGTAATGTCAACTTTGAAAGTAATTTCCAAACGGTACATATTTATATTAAATTTTTGTATTGAATTGATGTCGAAATTTTTGCAAAAACAAAAATGAGGGGGAAAGGAAAGGAGTTGTGACCAACTCTGCTTATACTTTATCTTACGAAAATTTTCGATACGCTTAAATTTATCGAAAAAAGACTGCTTATTATGAAATATTTTCGATGTGCAATGTGTACGAAACTTGTACTCATTTTCCATCTTTTTATAAGAAACTGCGCAGAAAAATAAGATTTGACTGTAAAAATTTGGTAACATTGCGCTTTCTACTATTTAAAATAATAATAATAATGATAAAAAAGTAACATTTGGTTTACAAAAGAAAAAAGTAAACATATGCGAATATTATGTGTGGGGATAGGCAGTTTTTTTTGTTTTTTAGGCAGTTTTCTTTCCTCCTTTGACAATTTTTTTGGTGTTTCTATATTTTAGTGTTGTTATTTTTTTGGTGTCTTAGATGACATTTAAGTAAAACAAGTTTTATGTTTTTAATGCAGTCAAACTTAATGTAGGCTTGAATATTGTAATAGGATTTTTTTTTTCCAAATAAATATAAGAAACAAAAAAATGAAAATTTTCCAACGCACGAATGAGGGATTCTTGTTTTGATTGCTTTTGTTATAACAAAGTTAAGCTGAATTTTTCCTATAATAGTTTTTTATTTTTATTTTTTGTTTATTGAGATTTTCCTCTTTTAGATATCGTTTTGTTGTTAACAAAAGATTTGTGGAAGTGATTGGTTTAAATTTTTTTTTGTTGTATTTTAAAAGAAAATATTTTTAGTAGTATGTTTTTAACTAGTATTAGGAAATTTTTAACTATAGGGTGCTACTCCCGCTGACTGTAATAGTTTTCTATATTTTTTTTTTTTTTGTTATTGTTAATTTTTTGCTTTGGTTGTACGATCATTAAAATATGTAAGATTGTAAAAGTTTATGCACATAATATAAAAAACGCAGTGAATAAAAAAGATGTGTAATGTTCTTGGAGTGTAATGAAATCCAAAGATTATCGCAATACCGTTTTGTTTTTAGTTTCATTTTTATCATGAATTTTTTCTTTAAATGTTAAATGATTTCAAAATATTTAAAAAACAAAAAAAAAAAAATATCATATTAAGTGTGCACTTATACACGTACAACCGTTTTAGAATTTGTGATTTCATAAAAATCTAAAATGAAATAAAGTAAAAAATTTTTTACGAAGCTAAATTTAAAGGTATCAAAATGTGTTATATTCAAAGATAATCGGGTATTGATCGTATAATGATGATCGATGAAAATTCATATATTGGCGTTCATGGATTAATTATAGTGAGTGTGTGACGAAAAGTATGAAACTAAATGTCAATCAAATGTTAAGAATCCGTTGGTATAAATGAAAAAAAAACTAGGTTGTATCGATATGTTAGCATAAAAAAGGAAACTTTAGCTCAACAATAAAATTAATAATGTCTCATGAGTAAACATTTAGCATTTATTTAAGTATTCGAATTCTTAATGATTACATTTCAGGGAAATTCTCGGTCTTGGACATTTTTTAAGAAATATTTAACCTTTGACTTTTATTTTAATCTTTCCGTCGGTAAACACAAATTTTCATATTTATTTAAAATTATTTTCGGCTCTGTTACTTGTATTTCAAATGGTACTTCAAATTAATTTGATAGTATGTCTGGATTGTAGGACGTACTTATAAAATCTCAAGACTTTTATCGTCCGTGCACTCTATTAAAAACATCTTAGCTTTTAAAAGCTCATTTTTATTATGTTATTTGGACCTAAATACCGTTATGAATATTATTTCGAAATATCTTGATTTCTACCTTCATATTATGCTGTTAATTGTTCAAATTAATACAATGTAAAGCAGTTCCCAAAATAACTTGCATTAATCATTGTTATATGAATTTATTTTTAATTATTTTATGTAATCAATATTAGATATTTGCATAAAGCATTTAAGATTTTTATATATATAAATATTTTTTTATTACTAATTACGTTTTTTTATTCTATTAATTACTTATTAAATTTGCTTAATCAGGGAAATTAAACGATATTCATACCGGTAAGTATAAATATTACAAAATTACTATATTGATTTAAAATTTTATTTTGTTTATATTTTTTTTGTTTCGTTTTCTTTATTTTTAAATTTCTGTCATTCAAAAATTAATCAATAATTAAGATAATTATGACAGTAATAATTACTTATCAAAAAATATTTGTAAGAAACAGCAAAAAAAAAGCAGAAAATATTCTTATCATTATTAATTCATATTTTTATTATATACTTACATATATATATATATATATATATTTTTGCTTATTTTTAAATTCACATTAAACAATTTTAAATGTTGTATAATTATTAAATGATACGAAATTTATTAAAAACAAAAATAAAATAAATAATAAATATAATAATTATTATATTTATATATTTTTTCATACATTTTTAATTTTCAAAGATAATTTTTAGACATAGTACTTATTATAGTTTCAATAATAAAAATTTCGAAAAAATATGTAAATTTTTGAATAAAAATATAAAAATATCAAGAAAAAAAATATTGGAATTATCAAATTAATGGTAATTTATTATGAGTTTAATTCATCCCGAAAGTAAATAATAAAATCCAATTGGATTAAATTGTATTTTATGATTTAATGCAATAGTGCCTGTAATAGTGTTTGGTTTTTGAATTTTCGGTCACTGATTCTGAAATACTGTATATATATGTATGTATGTTATGTAAATCAATTCGTTATTGAGTGTTTTTATTTTGAAATCTAATTCAATTTATATTTTTGATTTACATTTTTGTAATATTTCCACAAATTGTTTGATTTACATTTTTTTTAAATTATAGAGAAAAATATAAACAAATACAATTTGCATGCACGTAACATTTAAAATATTCTTAATAATTCAATAGTATTATGTGTTATTCACTAATTCTTATGAGTTTCTATTAAAAAATTGTAGTATTCTAGAGGCAAGAAGCTTTGATTCTATCTCCGACGGAACTACAAAATAATTTTATTATTAAAATATTAAAATTAAAGATTTTAATATTTGATAAAATGTAACAAGCCCCAAATATTATATTTAAATAGTTTTAAAATAAAAAGAACAATAACGTTTATTATATTAATTTTAATATATATAGTACAATTCCGTGTAATCAGAAAAAAAACTAGTGCTAAGTCACAATTTTTAATTTTGAATAAATTTAATTTGAAAAATAAAATGTAATTTGTAACATTTTTTCCTAAAATTTGATCTAATGTAATATTCGAAAAAATGACATGCTCTTCTAAAATTTGATTGAATTACATTTTTAAATCTATGAAATTTTGACAATTACATGGCTACATTTGAACTTCCGGAATTAAAGTAAATTTTTTTCGACTATAAATTTTAGTACATAGACGAAAAATTTAAATATTATTATATGACAATATTTTACATAATCAAATATGGTGGTTTTGTTTTGCTATATCACAAAAATATAATACAGTAAAACTACCACATAACAAACCACTTATACATATATAACAAACTTGTCTAATTATTGAATAAATATTTTGGCTTCAATAAAATTTATTATTAAATTTTAATTTTCAGTTTAGTGTAAATACCAATTAGTATTGCGAAAGAAAAATTTGGATTTAGATGGTTCGTAATATGGAAGTTGTAATATAAATAAATTAATATAGTAAATTTATTGTATAACTATAATATTATTAACACTTACATTTATGTTGAAAATTTTGTTGTTTTTTTTAAATCGGCTTTTAATTTCTTTTAAAATAAGTTATTTAGAGAATATTTATAAATAATAATTTATATATAATGTGATTATAATATATGTATTTAAGTAAACTATACTTATGTTATGAAAATTATATAGTATTTTTAATAATTACGAATGTATTTTTAATAATTATTTTAAATAATAATTAATTTAATTACTCTATGTAATTAATATGTTATTAAAAATTTTATTTAATAAATATGTGGTAATCAAAATTAAATATAAAACCAAAAATTAAAAAAAAAATAATTTTTTTTTAATTATATATGCCTATATATATACATATATAAATTAAATCTCTTTATTAATTTTAAATAAAATTCAAATGAAATTAAATTAATAATTATTATAAATATATTTAATTAATATTTATAATTTTTATTTTTTTTGCAAGAATAAATTATAAATAATTAGAAGATATTTTATTTTTATTATAAATTAAAAAATTACTTATATAATTTTAATCTTAAAAATTTACGATATTATATTTTAAATTAAAAAGTAATTTTAATAAATAAATTACACTTTTTTTTATTTAATTATTTTTTTGTTTAATATTTTTTCTTTCAAATTATAAACTTGATTTGTTTTTGTCTCTTTTTTTTATTCAATAATCAATTAAATTTTTTTAAGTACTTTTAATTTTATTACTTTTGATTTTTTTTTTCGAAATCTAATTAAAAACAATGACAACTTTTTTCTTTAACTATATTTTACATATTTTTTTTATATAGTTGAGCAAATAATAATAAAACAAGATGCAAAAAACAAACAAAATATAAAAAAAATTGTACTAATAATGATAATAATAAAAATAAATCTTGATTAACCGGCGTTAATAACGAGAATTAATAATGTAAAAGAATTATTATAATAAAAATAAGAGAGAGAGAACAAAAAGAAACGATAATAACTATTATTATTATTCTATACCTCTATTAAGTTATCGTTATGTTTTTTTTTTTTATAATTTTATTACAATAATTATGATATTAAAATTTTTTTAATTGAACGTTTTTCTAAAATAACACTTTTCGCAATTGTTAAAAATATTGAATTTTTTTTGTGTTTTTATCAAATTTTAATTATTTTTAAATTAAATATTGAAAAATAAAAAAAAAAAATCAATTAAAATTTCAAGTCACATACAATGAATGTACTTTTCAAAAAACTTTTTTGAATAATGAAATTTTCAAGTCAAGACTCATTCAATTCCAATTTAGAACTGAGCGGCGCACGGCTATACTTTGAAATGAAAACCCTTTCAAATTAAATTCAGCTATCAACCAATTCATACAAAAAAAAACAACAACAATATACAAACTTAATAAATAAAAGTTTATAATATCACATCGAGTATATTATGGTCAAATCAAAATTGAATTCAGAATAGCATATAATATAGAGGTGTATAAATACATATAAAGAAAAAATAACATTTTAACATAATATAGTATTAGTGAAAATCTGAATTTATAATAATAAGAATAAGCAATGTAAAATAATAATAATGTGAAATTTAAAAAAAGCACACATATGTATAACAGTTTAAATTTTAATACTTTTGAATGTGTTTATAAACAAATACATTTGAAAAACTTTATATTTAACAGAAAATGTTATAAATATAACAGATGTAATGTTTGTTTTACATTTACCTATATTCATTATAAAAATAATGTTATTAATTTATCATTAAAAAACTATTTTATTTTTATAACAATTACTGTCGTTCTAGATATATATAATGGTAGGTATATACTTTTATTAAATCTCGGTACAAATTATATGTAGGCATGTATGTATGAAATTTTGATTTATTGATGTAAAATTTAAAAAATTTGAAGTTTTTGTATGAAAGGATGAATTAAATGTTGCAGAACAAATATTTGTGTATGTGTGTGTGTATATAGCAATCAATTTTGTCATCTTACAAACATTACTTGTTGCAAATCATTTAAAAAACTGTTTAACATACATTTGTATATAATATTGCATTTACACTTTGTAAAATTTAATCATGTATATATAACATATATACATATCTACATACAATGTATTCCAATTGGGAATGGTGTATGTATAGAATGACCAAATGATTGTTACTAATGAAATGATTGAGAATGATTATTTTTGACAAGTATTTGTGTGTTTGTATGTATTATGCTGACCATTTATTTATAATATGTTCAATATTATTATTGTTAATAAAGGAGTTAACATAATGTTGTACAACATTTTAAATAATAACAGTAAATTTATGTAATATAATAATGAATTAATAAATAAAGATATAAGTATATAATTATGTAAATAGAAATATACCTGAATATTTTCGTGAGTATGACGTACATGTAATACGTATACAATATTTGATAGCTTAATTTGATGTATACATGATACATATTTAAAGATAAATTTGTGATCCTAAATGTGGATATATTTATGATATTTGGCAGATATGCAATACGTGTAAATATTTATAAGGGATGTACATTATTGGCCAAATTAATCTGAAATGGTCGGTAATAATTGATCAAATCAATCTGAAATGGTCGGAAATAATTTGCAAATGGGAATAAATTTTTGATAACTGATTGCCGCCCTCGTTTAGTTTGACCATTGGTTTTTTGATAATTGCAGAACATGTTAGCTAAAATGCAGTCGTACGGTATATACCACAATGCCAGGCTGATCAAAAATTTTTTGGAAAATTAATTCAATTTTAACATATTTTTAATACACAATTTAAAAATATTATTCCTTTTTCTTAAGTGAATTTATTAACTCATAATTTTATCAACTATTTTTTGTATTTTACTGTGTCATTTATTCCCATCCACATTCATTCTTTTACTATATTGGAAAAAGCATCTTTATTTATCAGTCCCCCTCCCCCAGAAATTTTATATACAAAAAGAATATGTTCTTTTTTCATCCTGCTTTTTGTTCCTTTTAAATAAAGGATACCATGAGGAATTACATACATACATTATGTAAACATAAGGTGGTCGTTTATTATTGCTTACAACATCAGGATGAAGATATCAATTTCCCCATATGTTAAACAAATTTCTGCATAATATATTTTACTTACACACACACATTTGCAACTGAGTGAATATATACATACATATTTTGTTTATAAACATTATATTTTAGTAACATTTTTGTGAGTAAAATAATTTTTTTTTTAACACGAGTGTTGTTAAAGTATGGTAAATAAAGTAAAATGCTTATGCATACACAGTACATAATTAAAACTCAATTTAATAATAATTAATTTTTTTTATAATATTAATTGTTAATGTTATACAGGGTTGACCACAAATAATAAATAGTATTTCAGAGATGGTTGGAGAGCCAAAATCGAGTAGAAACTTGCACATCTATGAGGTTAATTAGGAGTTCGAAAATTTATGTGGATCCTTGTATACTCAGGGTCAAATGTAGAATTTATAATTTACAACTTTCAAATGCCTTCTGTTTTATTATTTATAGTATTTAATTTCAATATCAGTTAAATTGCGAGTACACATATGAGGAAATGCTATTATTTTCACTATTGATTCATTATTACGTTATAAGATGTAAGAAGATACGTTTAATATGGAAAGGAAGCAAGCAACAGCAACGTTTTGTATAACTTTTCCAATTATGATTTCTTTGAAATTTACTTTATACAGTTTTAAGTTTATTATATTTGATCTCTTTTATAATGTACGAACACCTCAGCATAATACAATTTTTTACTCGATTTCTACAATTTACCCTAATAAATCGGCAAATTAAAATGAATTTGCATTACAATTAATTCTTTCTAAATGCATCAAACTGGCATAACATTACCGAAGTTTTTTTTATTTAATACTTTGTAAAATTGAAATTAAGTTGGTAAATTGTTAATATTTTTATTTATTAAATAATTTTATTTAAATTAAAAAACTTTTCTGATTTATTTTTAGAAATAATTTTCTAAAAAACGCCATTCAATATAGCAATTTCAATAAGTGAATAAAGTGCAATAAAATATGATAAATGAGTCGGCTATTACGGAATTCAGAAGTTTATTCATATATCACCTGATATAATGTAAATTAGGCATAACGTCAGATTATATTGTTTAGACTTTGATCTATTCCATTTATTAAAACTAAGATATTTTATATTATTAACAAAATAGTTAGGTTAATGGTTTTTAAGAAATTATAATTAATTTTACAAATTTTTAAATTATATTCTTTAGCACATTTGTTATTAAAATAATGTTCTTTATTAGAGTGGCACTGTTCAACAGCTCCGCATATATTTAAGTAAGTATATGGATTTTAATAAATGGACAAGTACCTATATAATTATTTCCGTAGAGCAAAATTAAAAATATTCTTTGAGAAATATAAAAATATTCTTAGAGTATATCTGAAGACTGTCTTTGTCTTTGTATTTTTTAGGAAAATATTTGATTTGTGACTTGCAAATATTTTTTATCGAAAAATTCCCTCCTTCCGACTTATCTCATTATTGGTTACTTATTCAGCCATAATGTTATGTCACTTTTGAGTTTTCTGATTCTGTAAGTTACGTGGACATATGAGGCCATTACACAATAATTTAAATAAAAATTCTATTCTAACATTTTTTTTTGGCAATACGTAAAAAATTATTTAAAGGAAATGAGCTATGTCCGTGTCAATCCGATGAATAATGAAATCGAATTTTTTTTATAATAAAAAACAACATTTCAAAGTTCTTTTTTTTGGAAGGTTACACATTTCAGTTTTTATACAGAAAGTAATTAAATATTGAAGTCATTAACTCTTATAGATATATATATATATATATATATATATATATATAGTACAATAATATATAGTGATCATACGAATTACATTCCTACTGCAGTAATTTTTGTAGTCAGATCAGCTGATTTTTCGAGCTTCATTGCGGAAAAAGTTATGATAATAGTTGTTATTCAGAATTTTGCTAAGCAAGTATAGGCCCAATACAAAACAAATAAATAAACTATAAAGATATGCAAAAGAAGTGTGTCGCATGATAATGGCAGGCAAGATAATAGCAGGC